TGCTGAGTCCAGGGTCTGTTAAAGCTTTTGGTACTGTCAGTTATGGAAATGTTTGCACCAAGACTATTTTACCATAGGCACATAAATTCGCTGTCTGTCCATATACTTACCCGGCTTTTAGAGTTTTAATAGAAATAAAAATCTAGCCATTTGGGGAGGATACATTTTTGCATAGAAGTTAGCCATTAAAGAAGAAAAATAACCCTCAGATTTTATTCCTTTGACTAAATGTGATGTGAAACATATGGGTTAGTCAAAATGCTTAATGCTGCATGAAGTTTGAATGATAATTTCAGTTAATCTTCTCATGACGACATACTAGATAATTTGTTAAACTTTGGGATATATGAACATAAAGACACATTTTAAAATGTCTTCTATAAATAATGTTGTATTTTGATGTTTCAAACAGTATGGTAAAAAGCCATTTTGTTATAAAAGCCATTTTGTTATATCTGAAAAAAGCAAATTATGAAGGATTACTCTAATCTCTCAGAGCATTTGACTCAAAGCTCTTCAAAATTCACAGCATACTGTTGACATATAAACATCCTCCCTAGTGCCGTATCCAGTCACGTGTCTTTCTAATGCTACCTTAGTTCAAATCCCAACAGGAAAGCTGCACACCTTGTGAACAGATGTACTGAAAATAGAGTGATAATGCAAAAGAAAAACAACTCATCAGTGTTTTGTATAATTAATTTCAGCAGGTAATAGGAAAGAAATCAGATCATGCAAGACTTCAGAAAAGTGAGAATTCTGAGATGATGTACAGCTGTGAATAGTTTTGCTTTGCAAAGGTGCAGTGAAATGAGGCAACAAAAGAGGACATTTGACAGAAAAGCTACATATTCCACTTTAAATGGAGGAAGAAATCTCTGGTAATCACTATACCTAAAGCAAATTCAGAAGACTATGACAGTGACCTGTTTAAAGGAATACCACAGCTCTGTTCTGTGCACTGCTCACCACCACCCAACCTTCACAGCCAGCAAGTCTGATGCCTTCATTTCTTCCTTTCCCCACTGCCATCTCTAAGGTGCCTTACTGCTACTCATTCACAAGGAATGGACAGCTCTTACAGAGTACTTTTTAATGTAAAGAATTCCATACAACTGTTTTTGCTCTAAGTAGAATTAAAGGAAACATATGTTAAATAGAAAACAACTATGAGAGGTTGTTATTTTTCAGAGATGATGAAGGAAATTTAAATGGAAACTTCTCTGAACACAATGTATCTGGCTCTGCTGAGCTAAAACTAACCGTTGATTACTTGACATGCTTGAAATTCTTATAATTTCCTGATGTGGTTAATGACCAGCATGGTGGCAGAATGAAGACCCGAGTCTTCTGAAGATATGAGACTGAAGAGCCAGCCACACTTCCAGTGCAACTTTTCCTGACTGCTCAGGCACCTTCTCAGTGCTCAGATTCACAGATTCCTGGAGATACAGTATATGGCACAGTGCATAAAGGTATTTCTGTCACAGTGAAAAACCCACAGGTATCATAGATTATATGCCTGTAATCAAGTACTCTTGCTTTTTTTTTGTTGGTTGGTTGTTTTTTTATTTTTTTTTTTTTTACAATTATTGAATAGTATTCTGAGTTTCCTGTATTAGCTTAACTTTCTATACAATATTACCTGCCATTTTCTTATAGAAGGATGATATGCTTTAAATATTTATCTGGCTGTTAGATGTGTTCCATTTAAGATAAATTTAAGACTCTGGAAAAAGGACTGAAATAATCCCCTCAGATTTAGAATTTTGTTTTTACTTTGATTTTAGAAGGCGACACTTGAGTTGCTACACTGAAATTTAATTTTACATGGATACTCATAACAGACTTTTATCTGGATTCATGCCACCAGCCTGCACTCATCTAATCACCAAGCTGCTTTGCTGTGCGGAAATAAGGTATACAGTATTTTTTTATTACTTCCTATTGCATCAAATTCTCTTTGGTATAGCAAAAAATACAGAAAACTTCTTTCTCTTAAGATCTGGATTACTCGCTTCAAAAGATGACAGACAGTACAATTAACCATGTGATGTAAACTATTAGAAAATCTGACAGAAGAAAGTAGGACACTGAAAGACGTGCCTCCTGTGGGAGGCCTCCTGTCTCACTGTTCTAGTTATTTTTCCATTCCAGTGCTATGCTACAAAGAAAAATTTTTGATAAACTTCACCTTGAATGTTATTCAGCAGACAAGGAGCAAAAAAAAAAAAAAAAAAAAAAAAATTGAAGCTGTTGTTTGTTACTCAATTTGAAGCTAGAAATCTTGCTTTTGCTTTATCAATACAGCTTATTGTTCCCTTGAAAAGTATGTACTTGCTCACTAAAACACCTGATTTTGTCAGTCTTGTTACCTTCCTTCATCTCAACTTTTGTGACATGTAGACATAGGAACCACTTAAAAGAAATGTAGCATATGACTTCATGGTATTTTTTTATTTTTTTTTTTCACTGCTGCAGGTAATGGCACCAAAGTAGTGTTATTTGGCTTGTTACTCTTGAACTCAGCATTGGCAAGTTCTTTATGTAAAGCTGTCATCAGCAAAGATGCTTAGCAAAAACTCCTTATGGAAAACTGCTTTAAAATCCCCATGCCTTCCAAGACTGTTTCATTTACTATGAACCAGTATGACATCTACTCTAGGCCCTTAGACTTTTGAGCAGTAAGTACATGTCATAACAGCAACAGTGATGCAGATTATGCTATTATGTTCTGATTCACTGAGTTTATCAACAAGAGAGAGATGATGAAAGCTTAATAGACTGGAAAATTCAGAGGTTTTGCACTGATTACAGTAAGAAAAGTTCTTGATGAGGATACAATTCAGAGTACTTCTTCCTGTTTCTAGCAGGCAGACACACCTAACACATTCTTTCACATATTCACCTCTTTTCCAGGAAGACCCATTTGCTTTGATGTCTGAAAAAAATAAATGCTTTCTACCATTAAGAGAAAAATAAAGTTATGGCTCCCACAGTAGCTTCCAATGTAGAACGTAACTTCACAGAACAGCTATTTCTTCATATGTTGCAGTTAACGGTAATTAGACTGAAATTCATAGGAAAGAAAACAGGTGGTACTGCAACCCCTGTAATTTTCCAGCTTGGCCTTGGGAGAATCTTTTCATTGTGTTTCTGGCCAGCAGGGATTTTGTAGCTCTAAGAGCAGTCATTTCATCTATAACCTTACACTCCTGATTTATATTAACAAATATATGAAAACCTCAGCAACTACTCATCATAGTAATCACTCTTTGATAATGGAAAAGATATTAAAATCCCCCAATCAATAAAGCCACTAAGAAACTATAAGGTCAGAATGGACAATCTCTTTAATGTCTTATCAGAAAGCTCTTCAATGATCCACTTGGCCACCTCACAATGATACACTTGGCCACCTCAAGCCAAAGTCATATCTTCTCTAGCCAATTTACATTATGCTCTGGATGAAAGAAATAATTAAGTTATGGTTACATTGTTTGGGGAAAGAAAAATCATGCCAGGTCTCAGAAAAAACACACTCAAACCACACTCTAAAATTCCCTCTCTTGTTCATCACAAATTCCAGCACGGGTATTGACAAAAACCCATAGCCATATGGATTGAAGCAGAAATCTTGGACAGATGGATTCCATAACATGTATGACTTTATTAGCCAGACAAAGCACATCAAACTCTACTCACACCGGCAACCAGCAAATACAATCTACCCAGCAGAAGTCCCGCTCATAACAGAAAAGACACTGTGTGTATTTCAGAAGAAAATGCTCACAGGGCAGAAAAGCTTCCTGCCAGTTCTGTTCTTTGGGATCTGGAGAAAGAGGGTCATTCAAGGACAGCCCTCCTCTCCCCAGCAATTACAAGTATGACAGTACGACACACTGGATACGGAAGGTATTGATGGACAACAAGATTAACTTCCAATCTTTTTCCAGTTTGTGGGAGGAAGGAAAATACGCAGCCAAGGCCACAAGCGCAATGTCTGTGCCAAACCAAGGTCAGAACACCGGCACAATTTAAAGGCATCAGCAGCATCACAGCACCATGGGATTCCACTCACCACTACATTTTTCACAGTGCTAATCAGGAATAGAAAAGTCGGATGTTGGTTGATAACTCAGAATTTTAGTCATTAAGTAGAGGTTTTCTGGGCAAAGACACTGCCTGAAGCAATTATAATCATTCTTTCGTCACGAGTCACAGATGCTTTCTACCAAAGAGACTTTATGAGCAAAGACTAGAATCCAAAATGGTTTCAGAGCCTTTCAAAGGCAGCTGGGGGGTCATTAGATAATGCACCCTGACTTGTATTACATAGGGCATAGATGTTTAGTCCTTGCAGCTCGACTGAAACCCCAAAAATCTATGTTTAGCAACTGCTTTTAAAATATAAAAATAAAAAATTGAGCCATGGGTGAAAGACTTCAAAACACATTGTCTCTTGCTAGGATTTTTTTCAGTAGTTTATCACTTTGTGCCTTCCACAAATTTACCATCTTGCTAATTTACTTATCTTTAACCCTCAGCCCTTGGGTCTTTCTGACAGCACAACACACTCAAACTGTACCAAAACTAATTCTGCAACATCACTGCAAGGTTTCAGACACAGATGCAATGATAAAAATCCAACACTTAAAGTATGTATGACTAGTATTTTAAAGGAACTAGTTTTGCATTCAACAGCGTATATCAGAGAATATGGCTAACGTTCAATCTTTTCTCCTCTCGAAGTAACAGATAAAACCTGTAATATTTAAACTCTCTTGCTTCAGCTTCCTGTTCCTGTAGTTTTTTCCCTTGAAAGGCTTAACTGGTAAGTCTTCCCCCTTCTTCCCAATGCACTACAACATTGATTTACAGTGGTTTGATATAAATTCTTTTGTAGATCATGTAATTTGATGTGCAATCTTCTGTGAATCTCAATTTTAGCTGAATAGACAACAGTCTTATAAACACCCTTATTAAAAGTGAGTACTGACCTTGAGGTGAGGCTGAAGGAAGCAGCAAATCCAGGAAGGAGATGCGAAAGAAAAAGAGTTAAAGTTTGTGAAAACAGTGTCCAGAGATAAGGCAGTTCAAGAATACAGGACAAAACAAGCAGATCTAAATCAGGTAATGACACACAGACACACAGTCCTTCACAAACACAGAGCTGCAAGTTTTATAGACATCTAGTAATATTAATAATAAAAAAAAAAAAAGGACCTTTACATTAGATTACACCATTTCACTTGGAGGCAACTTTCTGTAGAGAAAAGAGTCTCCAATACATAACAGTTCTTGGAAAAGGGAAATAAGCCAACTGTACAAAATTCTGGATTTACATCACATCACTAGCAAGTATCATTCTTCCAGAATTCTAACTAACATTTTGAAAATGTGGAGTTTGACAATCCAAGATGGACCTTAATATGCTCCTTTATGCCATCTTCTGGGGGCTTATCTTCTCTGCATGAACCAGACACACATTTTTTTTCACTCTTCCTGCAGATGACCCAGTCTTGTCAAAAGGGAATAAACAGAAGGGAGAAAAACCCCAACCATGGAGTAAAGTCTTCAAGACCTGAAGACTTGTGAAAGCTAAAAGTTCATCTTTCTTAATTTTGACATTGAAGTCAACCTTCCAAAGACAAATAAAAAAGCATCTGCCTCTTCTTCCTGCAGTGTTGCTGTCTTAATTCTCCCATAGAAGGTGCAATCTAAAAACAATAATGACCGAACAGGCATATTTTTGACAGTTCTCTCCAACATTGTTCAACAGCAGGATTGACTGAGACAAAATGCTGGAGTTCCCTGTATAACATGAGGTTCATTATTGCTTTTTTTCCAAGTATCTCCAATATCTTTTTATAGGCATCTGCTGTCAATTTCACTGATAACAGCAAGGTAAGTCAACAAGGAGCCATAAATACAGATCTTTTTCATCCGATTTTAAACTTTATACTTTTTCAGTCAGTAGAAGAGAGGAAAAGAAAATGTCCTTCTGTCCAAAGTGGCAATTTGGCTTCTACAACATATGTTGTACTTCTCCCATGGCAAAAATTCACTCTAAAAAGGCAGGGTATGGTCTGGAGAAAAATATTTCTATAAGACAGGCTAACTGCTATATGCTTTACTACTCTTGGTATATGGAACCATGCAAATGAAACCTGAAGCCCTTATTTCTGACATAAAATTTACAAACAACAATGCAGCATTTTGAATTTGTACAAGCAGCAGTTTCAGAGTGAGGTACAGTTGAGAAGTGTATTGTTGGTCTGTCACAGATAAATTCGGGTAAAGATACTTTTCTTTGGCTTTTAAACTAACATTCTTCAAATCAAGTTCTTCAAGGACAGCTGTTGTAAAGGCTGTGTTATTTGGGGATTTTGGGAAAGATGAGACTTGCAAAATGCGAAATACCACATCTCAGTGTTTGATCTTGAAGTAAGTTACAACGCTGCAAAAGCCTCAGATAATTCATATAGAAAAGTGTGTAACTAACAATTCTGACTGCAATCCAAGAGTACAGTTTCTAAACTGAACTGCAGAGCTATGGTCAAATAAATCTAACAAAAGGGAATAAAAAAGTGAAAATAAACACTTCATTAGATATGTGAATAAAAAAGGTACAGGGAAAAAACGCTTGACCTTTTTATGACTGTTACTGAATCTAGATTATGGAAGTTTAAGACTTCTCATTTTGTGTTTCAAGGACCTTTTGTAGTTCCTGGTTCTATAGTAATGATGTTGTGATATTGTTTCTTCAATTTAACAGCGAAAAAAAGTACAAGCCAGAATTCAGAATAGCCCTGCAGAATCTGAATGAACCACACTGTTATTTCAACTGCTATTAAAGGTAGCATCTTTTGCTGGCACAAGATGAAGGCAAAACAGTACCTGAAATGATATTCTGAGGTCACCTGCAATTTTCTGTATGCTACAAAGTATTATTTAGCCAGCTGCACAGGATTTGAATGGAGAATAATTATTGCTACATCTTCATTTGGTTATGGAATAAAGTCTTTCTTCCAAAGAAAAATACACTTTGTGCAACTGTTAGCCCCTTTTTCTATGTTATTTTACAGGGGGTCAAAGTATTTCTAAAATATGTGGATTTTTAGAATAATCATAATATTTATTCAAACAAAAATGAGGAATATGTCTGAAAGCACATTAAAATTAGAAAAAAATCTGGAACTTTGAGTGCTATCACTCAAATTAAAACCAAGGCAGACACCTGAAATTGTCAGATATTAGGAAGTCAATGGAAATCTGCTACAGACAGGAGGTGAAACCTCAGTGCCCAGGGCTACATCAGTGAAATTGAGCAGAGGAGCACAGCAAGCATCTGCCCCAGGAAGCAGCCCCAAGCAAGCAGGATCAGATACATATCGAGACATGCTCATTAGAGAGCAAAATAATAATTTTTAGTTTGCACTATTTCCCTTCGAGCAAGAACACACACTTGCAGCATTCCTTACAAGATCCAGCAGCAGCGTTTCTGCCCAGCCCCACTAACTGTGTAGTCCAATGCAACAGTCACACAGGGAGACAATACGATTGTAACACCAAATGGTAGTAGAGAAATCTATTTTCTTTTAAAATGCCATCTCATTAATTTTAAAGACATAGCTGACTTAAATCTGATCGATGGGTGCAGATCTAAAAAGTTGGTGAGATATGAACACTTTAGTATTTTAATTAAGAAACAGATATATTTAAACAGCCATTGATTATTCCAGCTATAATCTTTTCCACATGCTTGTATATTATAGGGAATGGAACGAGCCTGCTACAGTAGTCTCAGATGTACTTAGGCAGAAGCTTATGTAATGATTTCTAGTCAACCTTTGAATTCCACTTGTCTGAGAGTGATTGTGTATATTTACTACTTTGTCATTCCTTCGAAGCAGTGTGACAAGGAATAATATGCACTTGATCTTCCTCATGTCAGTCAAAGCAGAAAGGCTATTTACGTTTATCACTTTTGACACCTTCTATTGGTAAAAAGAATGATGGCTGGTCTTTTCCTTTCTTTTTAGTTGATATTTAGAGGCATGGGGAAGAGATGGAGAGACAGAGAGAGAAGGTTTGCGTGTGCACCCACGCGCACAGGCATGCACGGATCTAAGAGCACAAAGACAAGCACAGATCACCATGGAGCACTAATTTTGCTATTTCACTGGCTTACTGGTGATTACTGGATTTTCCTTTTGTTCTTAATGTAATCCAAGACAATGTAAGGATCTGACACTTACTTCTACTGTATCAATTGTATAAAATGGGGCTTTTGGTTTTGTTTGTTTGTTTTCAGGAGTGGTTTTTTTTTTTTTTTACTCTCTACATATTAGTTTGTGAGTATGGATACCCTCATATCGTTCAACGGTGTTGTCTGAAACAAAGCTACAAAATAGCTTTTGAAGAGATGTAGTCAGGGCAGATAACAATGAAACCCTAATATGCAAACTAGACTTATATTTACATGATGTTCTTTCTCCTCTGGTTTTATAATTATTTTAATTATTTATAGCTCTTGCACTCTACTGATCTAGCAGTTAGATTAGGAGATACTTTCTAAATAAAACCTATCATTGCTACAATGCAGGCAGAGTATAAATCATCAGATGACAGCTCCTATATTCATTACAGATAATAGAGTTAGGCATGAGAGGGAATGCTTGATAACCACCTTGATTTAATGATAAAAACAAACAGGACTTTAATGCTACAGGAAATTTGGCAGGAAAAGCAGCCTTCAAAAAAGTTCACAACCAGCGCTTCTCATTGCTCCTAAGTATTTCTCTAGTGTAGGGTCCTTACTGGAGGATCCAAGATCAGATCCTTAGTCGTGGATTATTGACAAACCAAGCTTTCAGCCCACTGCTCAATTTAACAAAGGAGACAGTATGTACTCAGTTCCATAGCGATGAATCACTCTGTTTAGTAGCGTCAGTCCTGCCTGCTTGAACATGGAAATAATACCAGGACAAACACCCAGGCTTAGGTGGTTCGACGATGGGATAACACAGCAAGCTCATTCAGCCAAAGCCTGCATCAGCCCTGACCTCTCACCATGTCAAGGGCTGGACTAACTGGGGTTCTTTGACCTTGTTTTTTAGAACAGCTGTTTCTGCAGTATCACAAAGTTTCAGTTTTTCCCAAGACACAGGAAAATTGAGAGAATGGGAAAGAAAGGACAGCTAAATAAAGACCAAATGGAAAGGGGATATCCCATTATATGAAAAAGGTGAGGACGGATTGAGGAGTCACCATAAAATCACTATGATGGCTTTTTTTATCTGGTGCTCTCTACAGATGGATTTGCAATTATTGGCAGTGTCTCTCTCTCTCTTTCTTTTCTTAGATGTAGGTTTCAGAAGTGATTAGTGAGTTTGAGTGTTGACCTGAAAATACTTTAACAAAGGTTGGCTTCCAGAGGGCAGGCACGCACCTTCTGAAAATCAGCATACTTTCAAAGGTCTGAAGTTCAATACCTGTAAGTGAAGGTTCCTGCATCTTATATTCTTATCTGTTTAGAGCAGTTAAGTTGATTCAAAATGTATTATTTTTCCTCTGTAAAACTTGATGTGAGATTTCAGGTGTAATGTTCATTTTCTACGAAGATAAAGCAAGACTGAGAAGAAATAACTTATTACTTCATTTACTAGCTTGGAAATTATGAACATCTTAATACTCAATAGATCTGTGTGCTCAAAGGTGGAGCTGGATTAACTACAGGCCTGACCACTTCTTTCCATTACAAAACCTTGTTCTAAGTTGCTTGCCAAATATTAACAAATTGTGCTGACATTTTCCAGGACAGGTGTCAGCCTCATCCAGAATTTTTTGGGGACATTTTCAGATATGTCCTTCACACATCGAAGGCAGCATTCTTGTGGAAAAAATTTGTTCATATGGTTAAAGACTATATCACTTTACTATGATACATAGGCTCACATAAGAGGTGAGTTAAAACTACATGGCAATCTTCATTTTGTGTGTTCCTAAA